ACTACATTTCCTTAAAGATAAATCTGTATAATATTTTAACGGCAGTAAAGGAAATGAGAATAGTTAACAAAATTAATGCTATGCAATAATCAATAGTCAATAAAAAAACATTATAAAATATATGTACAAGACATTTAATTTTTCTAAGTTTAATTGTATATAAGTATGTATAAAATTGTTATTTTTTTTATGTTACATAAGGATAATTACACAATTAAAAAATGCATTGAAATAATTTTATATATTTGCAAAATAAGTAATTATATTCAATATTATATTGTATATCTATTTGTTATAGAAACATGTATATAAATAATACGGAGAATAATGTCTTGAGTTAGGACGGCGGAGTTGTGCTATCAGATCGAAGTTGCGATGGTGCAGCTTCGCTGTATGCGATATCGAAGACGCTTTTTTTCTCGAGAAGTTGTTGATGGCGTAAACGACCGCCACTTTGGAATGACGCTGCATTTTCTGACTGTAGATCACTCTCGGATTGTTCATATTGCGATCCACACGGTTGCATTTCGAGGCATCTTTCTGGAGATAACTGTGGCGATGGGTGCGGAGCCGGGGGTGGATGAAGATAAAATGGAGGTGGTATTCTCTCATATTTATATTCCGAGTGCTGCAGCAGACGATGCTGCGTGTCCGAAGTAGAGACCGGCGGTGGTCTGGCGAATATCTGAATCGTTGGGTCTTCCTTAAGACTACCCTCGGCTTTTCTTAATTGTCGTCCTTGACGCACAATGGCCTTCAACTGCTCTGATTCGACGTTCACCAGAGGTTTAATTTTGCGTCTGGTACGCGGCGTCATCTCTGGTGTTTTGCGCTCCACTGTTAACTTCTCTCTTTGTTTTGTCGTTTGCTTCAAATTTCTACTTACCCAACGTGGTAGCTGTTCCTCGTCATCCGTTGCTTTCTTCTCTAATTTCTTTTTCTCCGCTTCCTCGCGTTTTTTATTGTACCAAGCCATGTACTTTGATTGCGTTTTACTTATGTCGATTTCGCCAGTTTTCGAAGGAATTGTAGTTTTCTTATCTGTCTTAAATTTTGATTTAGATACCTGCTGTTTTCGAGGATGTTGTTCTTCCCTTCGTGGCGATCGCTTCTGCGATTCACTACTACTTCCTATTTGCTTCACTGAATCATCATCGATAAATTTACGAGATCGACGCTGAGAATAACTTGGCGTAGCTTTTTCTTCTGATTTATCAAGAACACGTTTTCTCTCCCCGGATGAAGGCACTTTCAATCGTTCAGATTTCTTTGTTTTCTTCACGAAACGTTCGGAAGGTATAGTTTTCGTAATACATTTTTTCGAAGTTAATGACACATCACTTTCTTTACTTCTTATTTTGTCTATCTCAATGTCTTCAGTTTTGTTCATTTCAATAGTTTCAGTTATTATTTTATCTTTTTTCAGATCTATTTGTTCAGATTTACTTGAAGGCGATCTAATTTTACTTTTATCATCTTGTTTCACAGATTCGGACATTTTTTCAATCTTTTTTCGAGGCGTAGCAATCTCGCTTTTGGATTTCGCGTCTTCCTTTATTGTGGGAATTTCATCATTAATGTTTTCTTTTGGTATGTCATTTAATTCTTTAATACTTAGAGTCAAAGGAACTATATCTTGAATTGTTGTCAATAAATTTTTTATTTCCGATTTTATATCAGTTTCTGGTTCTTCAATTTCGATTTTCGATTCAAAATCTTTATCTGTTATATCTTTATCGTTTCCTTCTTTTAAAAGAGACATAGGCGAAATTCTTTCGTCAGAAAAAGTCTTTCCAGATGTACCAGCGATTTCAATATCTTCTTTTAATTCACTCATTGATTCAGTTGTGATCGAATCTTCTGTTTTCTCAATTTCATCAAGTGATAAGTTGCTATCTGTATCCTCTTCTAGTTCGGTTTCCGTTCTTGTGTCTTCTCCATCTCTGAAAGTTCTTACACCAGACATTCCTACTATTTCAATGTTTTCTTGCTGCTGCCATTTTTGTCGATGGCGCGGAGTGTCATAGGGTCTTGTGGTCAGCGTTGTTTTCCTAGAAATATCACTGGATGAGTCGCTCTCCTCCGAAACATCGAGTGTATCATCAATAAAGCTGCTAAAAATTGGAACGCTTACGTCTGCTTGCTGCTCTCCTTTGTCTTGTGGCTCTGGGACTGCTGTGCTCTTAGAAATTATTACAAAACTCTCCACCATGTCTGATTCACTGACAGTTGATTGTTGCAAATTCGAATCCTTCGGCAACTCGATGGAAGATTCCTTATCAAGTACTTCAAAAGAAGTACTTGATAAAATAGTAAAAGCTTCTTCATCAGAGCTTTCTTTTACTGCAGGTACTTTTTCTGTTGCTTCTTCATCTTCTTGGAACAGTGATTCTTCTTTTTCCTTTGTATGTTCAACTTGTAATTGTTCTTTAATAACTTCTTTTTTGGAAGTAGTGACGTCTGTTAAAGATGTGAGAAGCTTATCTTCATCAAGTTCCTCTTCTTTTGTTTTGTGGATGTCAGATAGTCTTTCAGGAGATATGTGCGATTCTTTTTTAATTTTATGGCTTTCAATTTCTGTCTTTATAGTAAGATCGTCGCTTAACTGCTCCAATTCATCTTTATCAGTAATTTCCTTTACAATATCTGGTATTTCAGTGAGCTCCGATTGAGTTGAAGCGTGATCTGATTTTGACGCTTCATCACTATTTGACGTTTCATCAATGTATAATAATGTGTCATCATCAATTGCAAATGCTCTCTGAAAATCATTTAAATTTTTAGTATCATCTGTAAAAAGGCGACTGGTATCGAACGATTCTTCAGATATTGTAGTTGTCGATTCTTCTTTTTTTTCTACATCAGATTCTTGAATTTCATATTCTTTTGATCTCTCTACGTCATTTTTAATTTCACGTAATAAGTCCTCTTCCTTTTCAACAAGTTCCTCTTCGTTTTCTCTCTGCATTAATTCTTCTACCATCTTTTGTCTGGTATCTATTGCATCTTTTGTTGAAGAAATTTCCTCTTCAATATGTTTCTCTGATTCAAGACTTAATTCTTCTTTTTGATCACTTTCAGTTTTATATAATTCTTCAGTTTTGTCTGTTTCATTTGAATATAATGACGTATATCCATTTTTATGTTCTTCTTTTTCTTCTTCTATATGCTCTGTTCTATCAATTGATTTGGTCAAATTTTCTATATGTTTCTCCAATGCAATCGCTTTTTCACTCACAATCTCTTCAACAACTTTCTGTATTTCATGTAATTCTTTTTCCGGTATAACTTCCTCTTTTTCTGACATTTCCTGTTCGGTTTCATAGGAAGATTCTTCTGCTATTTCTTTATGCTTTCCAGACATATAAGCTATTCTTCTTTCAACAGCTCTTTTCTCACTATAAGATGGCACTTTTTCTGTTTCTTCTAACGCTTTTGTGATAAGAGAATCTGAAGGCACTGGTCCCTTGCTGCTGTCTTCTAATTCTTTCTCAGAGACTTCAAATAATTCAGATTGTTCTTTACTTGGGATGTCTAATATTGTCTCACTTTTGTGTTGCGTATCTTCCACATTTTGAACAATTGCGAGATCTTCAATAGTTTCCTTTAACGTTAAGTGTTCTTTGTCAAAATCATGATACACATTTTCTTTATTGCTGCTGAAAACTTCACTTTCAATCATAGCTTGCATTTGATGTTTTAGCTTTTTTGTCTGTGATTCTATTACGAAGTCGTCAGAAAATTGTTGTATTATTTCGATATCTTCTTTACCATTTACAACGTCTTCTTTATCTATGTTTTTGATCATTGTTGGAAGAAACATGCTTGGCTGATCTCTTCTCTGCAATTCTGGCACGAAGTCATCAGAGAATTTCTCGCTTACGTGTAGTTTCTGTTTTGATTTTTGTTGAGCCGCATGATTCGATAGAACTTCTGAAGACTCCATGCTTTTCTTGTCGAAATCGCGACTCATGAACGAATCCTTTTTGCCATTCATATGATCGGAACTTGTACTCGTGCTTGGTTCCTCCGAAATATGTTTCTTACGACCAATCGCTGCTAATTTTTGCATACGCGTTATTTTGGCAGTTTTGTCAGCCTTTGGCCTGCCGCTTTCTTTACTCGCGACTTTTCTGCGCTTCTCGAGCTCTCGATCCTGTTGTATGATTTGCTTCTTGCGTTCTTTACGTTCAAGCGTTTGCCTTTTCACTTTCGTATGGCTACTTATTTGTTTGTGTTTCGCAGCTTCTTGAGAAATTAATTTCGATTTCTTCGTTTTTTCAAACACATCCTCGTTTTCGGAACTACCGGCACTCATAATCTGCGGTTGCTGGTACTTAAATTTTTCTTTGTTCGTCTCTTTTGATGTACTTGGAGAAACTTCAAATCGTTTGTGCTTCTTTGAGTCCTCTGTTTTTTTCGATGTATTATCTGAATCTTTCTTGGAGTCTTGCGAGATTTTCGATTTCTCCTGACTTGTACTTTCAGACCCAGTGGTCTGCTGTACTTTTTTATCAGCGAGTTTACTTAGTTTCTTCGTCAGCATTGTGATCTCTTTTTCTAAAACTCGGAAACTGGGTTTTATCACGGATTCTATCTTCTTTTGCTTCTTTATTTTACTTTCTTTCCTGGTACTTGTCTTTTCCGTCGTTTCGCGAATATATTTTTCATTATCGACACTTATTTCCGGAGAAGACAAGCTTTTCACTCTTTTCTCGTCAAAAGATTTATCATGTTGCTTATCTGCTTCCGTCGATGAAGAGGAACCATTTTTCTCATCTAGTACTTTGTATCCAATATTGCTCTCTTCGGTGTACTGTTGACGAGTTTTTGACTTTCTTGCTTTCTCGCGATAAGTACTTCCGTTCTCGTCGAGAGAATCTGAAATTTCCCGCAGCACTTCAGGCTCCAAGGATACCTTTCGTCCCTCCTTCACTGCTTGTACTTTCTTTCTCAGAATGTTCAGTCGTTTGTCAAAACATGGGCCTTCCTCTTCTTTGATAGGCGTTTTCGTCCATAATGTTCGCGTTCTCAATTCGCTTTCTCCGTGACGTTTCTTCCTTTTTCGATTTCGGATATCCTCGTCGGACTCGTCATTGTCACTTCTACTTCGGACATGTCGATCCGTTTGTGTCGCAGCGGCTCTGTCAGTCTGCGTCCCGATTGCCACTTGTCCGGGAAGACTTTGGGTCTCTAAGTAACTTGCGGCATCCATCATTACGCCACCAGCATGTCTAGATTCCCTCTCCAATAGTATTCTTGTCAATAGAGCATTTTGCCTCGCCAATTCCATATCGTGAAACGTGTATGACTGCATCGTAGTGGATTGCGTTTGGTCTTTGACGATTAACGGTCTATCTTTGGGCGATATCCCGGGTACATTTGTTGAAATCTCTTGATGACGAACATCCCGCACTTGCAATTCCGTATCTATGTTTTGCGCCGCGTATTTATCGTCCATCGCTAGCTTTTGCGCACTAGATTCTAATTCTTCCGCGCGTCGACGTCTAACGTCCAATTCTTCTGGTAGGAGAAGAATTTCCTGCTTGTGTTGATATAAATTTCTCGAACGTTGATGAGAATCGATGGTACGCACTATCTCGGGTTCCTGTATAGGTAGTTCATGCCGTGCTTTTTGATCCTGCATGAATCGCTGCAGAAGTACATCCTTGCCATCCACTATAAAAGTTGGATAATGGCGATGTTGACTTCTATCCTCCACTTGTCCGCGTGTTACTAATTGCAGCACCTCTGCGTTACCCTCGCGATAAAAATGTTGCTCTCTTATTGCTGTCTCATTACTTAATTCAGGATCGACGTATCTGTAATAAAAAATAATATGGAATATATTCATATATCATCTTTTATTCTGGAGAAATTTTATTGCAATATCTTTTAAATTTTTATTTATTATTAAATATGTAAATATGTAACAAAATTTTAGATATATTTCGATCGATATTTTTACCAATTTCTGTTCCAAAATAGGAAATAATTATAAAGTAGATATAATATTTTAACGAAAATAAACTTTTTGAGGTTGAATTTGAGTTTCTGATGATAAAAGTAAATACTTTAATAAGCTAAATTGAAATAATAAAAGACTAATGTATTATTACGTGATAATGTATTATATTATTCATATAATTTTCTACCTTTGTCTGTAAGCTTGACGCTGAATATCCGAACCATGATCGATTTCGTGTCGTTGCAAAGAATCTACTTCCATAGTATCGTAATTTCTTTCTCTAAGCTCTCGAGTCTTCCTTTCGATATCTTGTACGTATATTCTTTCTTGCTCTTCGAATCTTCTCCTCGACAGATCATAGGCTGGATCGTCACGTAGCCTTAATGACTCTACATTTGCTTGATCGATTGGAGGACGTTCCGATATGTACACAACGTCACCAGGAAGCGATGCTAAGCCATCGTTTTTTGTGTTTTGACGATTGAATTGCCATTGATTTCTTCGAGTTGGATCTGCGCTCCAAGCTTGTTTTCTTCCATTTGATGTAATTACTATTTGATATATTGATTTTGTTAATAAATCACAAATTTTCTTTATATAGAAATAATTTTTCTAAATTTTATAAAATATAGTAAAACTATGAATGTGATTATAATATTTACAAAAAATTATTTTGAGAAAATTCTCTATCTGAACGCTTGAAAATGAAATAAAGTTAATAAAGAATAATTACTGTCAATTGCAGGTGGTTTCCGATGAAGATGTCGTTTCGGTCGACCATCGGATCGAGCAATAAGCGTTTCCGACGAATGAATTCTACGTTTTCTAGGTGCCATGTAAAATGGGCAGCCTGGACATATACAACAGATGATGAGCGCCGCTATGGCCAACAACATTAACAGACCCAGAATAATCAGTAACCACAAGAGTAGCTTATTCTCCGCTTTGTACACAGTCTGAAAATGAACTCTGATTTCTCATTTTTCTAAAATAGAAAATTATCAAATTGGAATAAAAGAAAAATATAATTTATAAAAATGCTATTTGTCAAAATTTTAAATGCAAGATAATTTGATCCTTGAAATGAATAAAATAATAACATAATATTTATAAACAATTTATTGCGCATATAGAAAGTTAGAAAAATATTTTTTAATATATCTAAAACTATTTAAAAGTAATTAATAATTGAATTAATTAAAAAATAAATTAAAGAATACAATTTTTTATGAAAAGTGCATCAAGTAATATAATTTTGAATATAAACTGACGTGTTACGTGATGAAGTTAACGAGTGTGGGCAATTAGCGTTTACTCACTACTTCGTCGTCATCGATGATTGTTTTGTTTACATAGGACTCCGTGCTGTCTCCCCCATTGTGAATTACTCCATCGATTGGAAGTTTCGTGGTAGACTCGTAGTCTGTCATAGACTCATTGGTGGTACCTGCGCTGTTGATGATGCCCACTCCATTCGCGGCTAATATGTTACGAATTTTTTCCACATCCACCAGAGGGGTGCCGATTTCGGTTTGTTCGACGCGGGCAACGATGATCGTTCTATCAGCAGAAGAAAAATATGAAAGTTTTGTGATTGATTAAGTTGAAATATTAATTTAAATTTTTCTAACTTTCATTGTCATTTCAATTTGAAAGAAATACTTCGCAAAAAATTGGAAATGTTTTTTAGTTGTTTAAATGTATTTTTTTAAATATAAAATAAATTTCGCTAATTCCATCAACCTTTTTTCTCCCGTTGGGACAGGACTACTTGTTACGGTTTTATTATTTGATACATAAGGACGTGTTTCTAGTACGGTAATTCGTCCACCAGTGATAGTGGCTAATGTTTCCGTAGTTGTCGTTAAATTTGGATGATCTCCCGAAACCACAAACATCATTATGCGAGCTTCCATGGCAGTGCCTCTAATGATGAAGATCTCTGTCTCACTCGCGAGATGAGGTACACCTAGAATATTGCATTAATGAAGAAAAGAGAATAGTAAAAATTATTTTTTGGTTTAAAATTTCAAAACTTTCAATTTTTATTATTTATTTCGCTCGCCCAAGAACTACATTTACTATAGGAATATTTACCAAGATCATATGCCCTGGCAGTTAAAGTATATAAAATATCAGTTTCCGCTCGTTTTCTTCGATGCCCTTTTATCTCTCCGAATTGTTTCAATTCGATTTCATTCGGAACGCTTTCCGTTGAATTTGTCGTATCCAGAAATACTGTTGTTTTTTTTACAGTCTCTTGTATTATGTGTTTTGGTTGAACACTTTGTGTTTTTTTATGTAATTTTTTCGAAAAATTGTCGTAATTGCTTTGTTTCTTTCGCCTGAATTTCGTGACGGGTGACAGTAACGTCAGTTCTCCGGTAATCTCATTCAAATAAAATTTATTTTCATAATTTCCATGAATCAATTCATAACGAATTTCATTATTTTGCGGTTCAGCATCAGCATCGGTGGCCTGAATTAAAATTTTTTTTTTTTCATAGAAATATTGAATATATTTATTGAAAATCTTCTTATAAATGGAAATCAATTAAAATAAAATTATAGAGAATTTCAAGATTACCTTGATAATAGCAGATGTTGAAAAATTTGTCAAATCGGAATTTAATGTAAATTCGTAGGTATTTTTCTCGAAAATTGGCGCGTTGTCATTTACATCCAGTAAATTTACTATCAAAGGTACTTCACCCGTGTTACCTTTACCGTTTTCGTCACGTGCAATTACAGTTAATTGTAGCTGCGCTGCCATTTCACGATCTAAAGACGATCCCATCGCGACTGTGATTAATCCCGTATCAGGATCTATTGCAAAAGCATCGCTTCCTTCTCCTATTATGCCTGTATATCGAATACTGCCAAAAAGTCCGGTATCTTTGTCGGTTGCATGCATCTAAAAGTAAAATCATGATTTTTTTTCGAAATAATATAACGTAAATTGTTAAATATGCAATTATAAATTAAATAATATAAACCAAAATTAGTAAAATCGAGTTTAGAGATTTATTTTTATTATGTTTATTTGAAACAAGCATTAATTATATGTTACCTGAATCACCCGTGTTCCAGCGGTGACATTTTCGGATAATGTAACTTCATAAGATTCTTCGTCAAAGACGGGCGGATTATCATTAACATCTTGTATAAATATTACGACTGTTGCTGATGCTGATAGATTTGTTGCTGGACCAACTTCTTGAGCAATAATCTAGATCACACATAAAGTGCTATATGTCTTAATTAAACATTTACTTAAACATTTATTTATTGATAAAATTAATGATGCTTATTTCAGTTACTTCTACATAAAAACATAAAAATAATATAACACAAACCAAACGACAAAATTGAATTATTTCATTCATTATCTTTGTATTAAGAATACCTTAAAAGATAAACTTTCATGCATCTCGTAATCGATGAGTGTATTGTCTCGCACCATGAGAATAAAATTTGCTGTTCTTTCAGCAACGGTCGGATTTATTTCGAAAGTACCATTATTATTCTGTAGCTTCAACGCGAAAACACCAGCTTTACCGATATCTTCATCATGGACTCTAGTCGAATATTGCTCGGGGAATATTATCACAGAACCTGGATCCAAATTCTCTGGTATCGATGTAACGTAGCTACATAAATAAAATATATGTTAATTGTAAGCATAATTGAATATTATAAATATGTAACGATTCAATATATTGGATTATCCGGAAAGTTCGAGTGCCGACTAACCTATATAATTTAATAAATATATACTAAAATTTAAATTTTCTGCGTTTAAATTTTCCTTCAACATCGGCACGAACTTTCCGGACAACCCAATATTAAGAAATTGTATTATTACAAACAATATAACGCGAGTACTAGAAAATTAAAATTAATTAAAGCGTAATGACATTATTAACTTGTAAAGTATATAAAGGCAATGGTATTAAAAGATGATGATATTTTATAAATCAGAGTTTAAGTAATTACAAAAAGACATTGGTTTGACTCTTAGATAATCGTTACTAAAATGATTGGGTACCAACTTATCATTCTCAAAATATGGCGGGCTGTTGCCTGGTTCTCCAAGAAGAAAACCGACGTCGACAACTGTTGCCTGAGCTGGCGGCTCGTCCTTAGATCTTCGTATTTCCTCAGCGACAACAGTGAGCACGACCGGTGCACCAACGTGAGTAATTTGCGTGAGTTCCTCTAAAGGCTTCGCAAGAACAATCTCACCTAAACATAGCAAGTAATTTATATTTGTATAATTTATGATGTTGTATAATCAATCGATTTTTTATTCAACTAATTCCTTCCTTATCCTTAATATATATTGATAACAGATATATTAATGATTATGAAAAATATTTTTTGAAAAATGATTGTTATTCGATACGCAAATTATACAACTATAACATATTATTGTTATTTCTACTTATTCGCTAACATTCTATACATTTCTGCTTAAAATTTCTCTTAAAATTATTATTTTATTTTAACATTTATTTATCACATTTTGCATATCTCACATATCGTGTAACATAAAAAGTAAAAGTATACAATTTTCTCATTTCTGCACGCGCGCGACTTCTATGTTATTTCGTTATTTTTGGAGAACCACTGTAACGATGTTATATACTATTTTTAATATGAATAAAACATCGCGAAGATAATGAACGCGAATTCTCTTATCCTTGTTACTTCTCCATCTCGCCTCATATCGTACACGCACGCTGACCGGCAATAATTTTACATAATGTACCTGCGGAATCGACTTAAGAAATCGTTCGCAGCGACGGATGAATGTGTATACCACTGGATATACGTAGAACCCGCACACGCAAGGAGTCGTAGTACGTATCGCATGCTCCTTGCCACGGAATGATAAGCATCGCAGGTTGAAAAGCAGAGAGTGACCCCTGAGAACGATCGATACTTGGCCGTAGACTGTCCAGACTTATTCCGACCACCTTTAGCTCCTTCTGTTTACTTCTCGCCAATTTTTCGCGTTCTTACCTGACTTACTTGGATTTCTATGAAATATCTAATGTTCCGAGAAACGATAGTAGTAATAAAAGTTTTATTAGCATAACTTTTATTCGTGCATAACGTAGTTTTTATTTCAAAAAAAAAAGAAAAAAAACTTAATTTTATAAAAAAAATAAAATTCTTTATTTGTCAAAATTATTCTGTTAATCGATTCTTAATGAAAATATTTATACATTTTGCTTTTATACGTCATTATTCATCAATTAGAATACATTATTTAGAATATATTTTGAATCGATAACATTTTTTTAATGAATTTTATTAAGGTTTTATGATTTTTGTTTAACAATAAGATTTTTATGTAAAAAATGATGAATGTTCATGTGAGTCTGTTAGTGAATACAAGAATTCATGTGATTTCTTCCGCGGACTTTACGCGGAAAGTAGAACAAATTACTTCGCTATCAAGAAATAAAAGATCGACATCGATAGAACGGTAGCGAACAAATTTCCCTGCTTAATCATTGTCCGGCGTTTTTCGCGGAATGAGGTCAGTCCTCGTATACCAAAAGGGCATATATGAATCAGCACCGTTACTTCTTTCTGTCATCGAGGTTGTCAGGTGGAAAAGACGCGAGACGTGCGATAGATCGAGGAATTAACGATGACTCAACTTGTCGAGTAAATTAATTACACGTACAATACTAATTTGCATCTGCGATAGGAGAAATTCTTTAATCTTTGAACGTTCTTTTACACGTTCAACTCGAGTAGCATAATTGGAACGCACGCAACCAAGGATTCAGGATAAAATGTAGTACAACGATGATGAGAAACTACTTTCTCCCAATTCTCTTAACTTTTCGTCGAACTGCACGTACAAGATATTGAAAATTCAACAGTTTCTCACCGGTTGTTTCCGAAATGTTGAAAAATGGTATGAAAGGATTGCCTTCGGACACCAGACCATACGTGATTTCACGCGGTACTCCTTTATCTCCATCTTCCGCGTGAACTCGTAATATTACATCCCCCTGGAACAAACGAAAAAGAAAAGTTATTGCGATTAAATAATAATAATATTAATAATGATACGGAAAAAGCATATCATTTTTATTTATGTAAGATAAAACAGAACACTCAAATATATATCTTTCTCTATGTGAACAACTAAATTAAAGTAAATAAAGCAAGTTGGAAAGTGATATATTTAACTTACGATTTGTACAGAATTATTAAGCCTAGTTAAAGGGGGTGCTAGGGTAAAAATTGGCGGTACATCCTGTACGTCTTGCACTATAACGACGATATTCAGTCCCGCGATGTTCCTAGTATCTTTTCCGGGTTCCGTGTAAGGATCCTACTTGGAAATTATATATTCTATCAGTGACATGCATACTTACGGGCGTAATAATATTGTATGCTTATTCGTAGAACAATTATGCTTACCGTCGCGTAAATGGTGAGGGTATACATCGATTGCGTCTCAAAGTCCAACTCGCCGATTAGCGTAATGATTCCGCGCGTTTGCGTAGGTGTTTGTCGTTGCCGAATAGTGAAAAGTTCTTTCGGTTGCTAAAACGACGTTGTATCTTTATGTTTCGCCTTATTAATTTATATAAATACAAAATAACCATTAAATATGTACCCATAATTCAATGTAAACTGGCTTGCCGCTCCAAGAGTTCGCTCGTACGAGAAGATAATCTAATTCTCTGCCTGGCTTAGCATCCTGTATATATGTTTTGCATTAATTTTTAATGTTACTCGTAATGTTACTTGTAATAATAGATTTTTAGAATAATAATAGATTTTATTCTTATGTAGATATGTTATACCGATAATTAATGATCACGTGCAAAACTTTATAGAGCGTTATACACCTATAAGGTCGGAGTAATTACGCACTAATTAATGTTGTTAGAAAAGCCATTAATAATTACACACCTCAGGTACCATTATCAGGGAAGGAATGTGAGGAAATATTTTATCACGCGAGGTTGTGGCGTTTGTTGCGGAAATGGTAGCCTGCATCGAATTCGAGTCTCCCTTGGTATCCCGAACCCTGACGGCGAAATCGTGAAGACGTCCTGGCATAAGGCGTTTCGTTAAAATTACATTAGCCTGACAGACTTTGTTGTACAATGTGCACGGCAAGTTGTCGATTCTTACAACGGGTGTAATTGTTGCTGGAAATAAAATATAGAAGTCATTATTTTAATTCCTGATTACTGATCGAATTTTAATAACAATCAAGATTTTTGATTATTCTTCTTCTTTTTTTTTTCTTTTTAATTACCGGTTATTTCGAACACAAGAGGAAAGTCTGCATCCTGATCGGTGGCGCGTAATCGAAAAATGACGGAATCGACTTCGGCATCGGCTGGAACCAATACCAATCCCATATCCGTAGATGTGTCGAAACGTGGTCGTGCACTTTTGCCCCAACCGCAAACGAGCCCCAAATAAACCCACGCTTTAAACCATGCTCCTACGAAGGGCATTCTAAAAGAAGATAATATTTTTTCTTATGCCATATATAAAGCGTTGAATATAAAACATTCGGAAGTAGAGGGCATCGAACTTATAATTTTTTAAGTCCTTGTTAAATATAATGCAAGTAACAATAAATCGGTAATATGCTATATCTCTATAATCCACGTGTAATCGACATTAATAGTGAAAAGATGGTAAATTTTGATACGATGGTAGATATCGATTTTATGATCAAGGAATGGGGTCGTGAGTATTCATTGTCGCGTCTCAAAACAGTATATTAAGTGTTCTTGTTTTTGATTCACATTATAAAGTATAATATTATCGATATAATCGTATAATGAATGGAATCTTAATTTCCTAATGGAATTTTATTTTCCTTTCCTTATTTTCCTTTAATAATATTGTAATTATATACATCAAGTCATAATACAGTTAATTTAAATTTTGATAAACTTTTTTACTTAAATTGAATAAAATATGTATAATACAATCAAATAAAAATATTTGTCAATATGTTAAAATTCATATATTTAAATATATTATATTTTATATTAAATTTAAATATATTATAAAAACATGTATTATTTAATATAAGTAAACATGAAATATTTATATTAGGTTGTGGAAAAAGTTCTTCGTATTTTTTAATTTAAAATTGTATACACAATATCTTCGTAAAAAAATGAACAAAATTTAAATTTAAAAAAGAATTTTAAAACTTGAAACTTCTACTTTCGAAAGGTTACTATATTTTTTGAATTTCTGTGAGTTTCTGTGGTAATTTTTATAAAACCACGAGCTGAAAAAGATGAAAGATTTTTTTTTACTTTGGGGATCTCTCCAAAAAAATTTACGAAAATTTTCGACTACCTATCGTGAAAGCTTGAAGCTTTCCCTACAAAATCGTTTTTTTTAAAATGTTTCTATGATTTTTTGTTTCTGAGTTATTCGCGAGTTAAATAAAGGAGTATTCTGACTTCGATTGCTCATAACTCCGAAAAAAAATTATCATGATTGATTATTTTATGTTTCTTTTTATGTTTTTAATTTCACAAAAATATGTATCTATATTTAAGATCTTCCAAAACTTGGCAATCATATATTTTTCTTTTGATTTTGTTCTCTATGTATACATTTTAATTGTTGAAGTATTTCTGTACATTTAAAAGAAATGCGATCACATTGTGTATATGCATATAGAATTTATTATATAGCTGTAATTACCGCAATTTAAAAAACAGATTCTTAAAGCTGAAACTTACTCTAGCGAATGATAATTATAATAAAAATTTCGCAACAATGAAAAACTTTTGCAAAAAAATTTTTTAAATATGAAGAAATTTTTTCCCCGATCTAATATATAAAATATGAAATATTTATATATTTATAAATAACGAAATGTTAATAAAAAATTAT